TTTTTCCAGTCAGCGAAATAAGCTAAATTAAAACCCAGTGAATAATTTACCCCTTTACAGTAGTAAAGTTTACGTTATTTGGTCTGTGGTTGGTGTCGCGCAAGACGATCGTGAGTAAGTTACCGCTAAAGATAATAACAAATTTACATTTTTGTGCACCTGGAAAGTACTGTAATAACGTAGCCCACGAACACTTGGGTTAAAATGAGAAGTTGTCTCCATAAGCATAACCAGTAACACTACAGTATCGATCTCGTCTTTTTTGGGCAACGCCTTTTCGACGAAGCGCTTTATCATTATTAAATTTCTTACCTGGTTCGCATTGAAGTGTGTCGCCATTTTGTTTATGATTCCCCAAACGAGAGTTGTTAAATATTATGTACCGCTGATCACGGAAACGCAGTGCTTCTTTCGCCGGTGTGAACTTTGTTTTGGCGTACAGCAGAGCCTGGGTGTAAACGATGATTGTTGCCCTGGTGACGTTCTATTGCGTATACAACAGCACTGTTCATTGGCCAATGAAGTCTCGTATGCGAGAGTTTCAAATTTCCTCAATTTTATTACAATATTTCGCACTTAAAAAAGTCCTTGATCTGTAGTATGATTAAATAAATCAATTTTTTTTTGTCTTGTGCGAAAAATGTTCGTGAACGGCTGCTGAGGTTTATCGAACAGTAGATGTCACGTTTAACTCTCGCAACTCACACTAAAATATATCAAAACATTCACAGGGCAAAATAGTTTGCAAGTTACATTTCCTAAGTATGTAGTTTATGAATATATAAGCAATTTATAAAGTGTTACATCAATTTAAATTAATTAATAATATTCCAAAGTTGTTATATTTTGCATTTTTTATGACAAAACTATCGAAAAACTGAACTACAAATGCCACATACTACTCGGATTTCGAAAACAAAATGGCGCTTACTGCTTCACTTCGGACTTGCCATGTGCATCCTGTAGTTTTGTTGAGTATAGTAGACTCATATGAAAGACGAAATGAAGACGCTAAACGAGTTATTGGGACTCTTCTCGGTAAGATATAGATGACAGTGCTTATAGTTAACGAATGTAGTGCTATTCTTACTTAATTTCCGATATTGTCTGGCTGAGAAAATAAAATCTCACGAAAGTGTCAATAATAATCTGGCATATGGCCATGTGAGAAGGTCTGACATAATGGTTTTGTGATTTGTTCCTCATGCTGTATGTCTAACGTTCGAAATTGTTTTATTCCATTTTATATATCGTATATACCGTGTATGTAATATTGAATTGTTTGCATTAATAATCAATATTATTATGACAAATCAAATTCAACACTTTTGCACCATAGTCTATCTAGAGTGTGATGAAATGTGTCCAGCAAAATTGGCATATTTGTTTGTAGTTGAATATGTTATCTGGATCACTGTCATCAAAACATTTCCCCAAAAATCATAATGATGATGCAAAATGATGTAGCAGATTGATGCTTTTTGTCTTGGATCATACACAAACTACATGTAGTAACTACCAGAACCGCAATTTGTCTGTTAAAATCTTAATTACACTTGAAATTTGATGCAATTTGCATTCAGTGTATTCTGTAAGTGTTGCAGTAGGCCAAATATAAGTAACACCCGCTCTAACAATGCTTTGTATCCAGGGCTAGCTGAGGGTCCATAGCGCTTCGTGTGTCAGTCTTTTAGTCATTTCTGATACATTTGGTGTCATTAAATTTGTTATTTTCAGATATTAGGATTTTTATCGCCACAGAAACTCTATGGTTCCTCCCATAGACTTCATAAACAATAGATGTCAAATGATCATCTCTGAATTTATTCGTTTATATTTGGATGTTATATTTTTTCTGTTAGGAACAAACACCCTAGGCCATATTGAAGTGACAAATTGTTTTTCTGTGCCACATAATGAATCTGAAGATGAGGTAAGTGCAGACATGTTTTCATTTTGATGTTTGACTAATCTGCAAGGTTTTACTGTGATGTAAACTGTCCAGTTATAAATTAAGCCTTTGAACTAAGCGTAAAATAAATCGGCATACTTTTCAACAAAATAAAGATTTGTAGGCAATTTGAAATGACTATTTGATCCAAAATTAACAATGAAATTATTGGAATTTTTAACAAAAATATTGCACAAGTATTTTGGCAGGACTAATTATGGCATTAACAATGCCGGAATTTTATTAAACAAGGGAACAGGGGCACAGCGCCCTCAAGTCATGGCCATGCGCCCCCTTACCCTGGGAAGCAGATCCTCTGGCAACCATCAAATTCTGATTGACCAGGGATCACATGTGGCCACAGTCTTCAACTGTGACCTGTCTGATAGTAATTTTGGCCCCAAGGGAGCCATAGCATGCTCCATTTTAACTTAGAATTGTCATAAACTCCACACCCTGGTAGGGAGAACCCTATCTCCCCCACTTGGTGGCGCCGCTGAATTGCAGTGCTCCCTCTTGCAGTTTTTTTCTGGAGGTGTTATGAAAATTAGTCATATATGTAAAATTTGGTCAACTCAAATTGCAATGATGTAGCAAAGTAATTTATTAGATACTCACCATGGGCAACTACAAATGCCTCTATTCTTAAAGTTCAATAGCTTTTAAAATATAGTATATATTTAGTGTCTTGTTTTAGTCATTCAAGATAATTCTTCACATCACTATATCTTCTCATTACAGGTAGCAGTTGATATGGAGTTTGCCAAGAATATGTATGATCTGCATAAACGAGTCAACTCAGCTGAAATGATTGTAGGATGGTAAGGCCAAATATTCTGTATCATCCTTGACAACACTTGAGATAGAGAATTGTTTCAAATCCAGCAAACAAAAATGGTGTGCGTAATTATACACATGATTCTATGTTGGACCAAAATACAAAAAAAAACATATTTGTTGTTTTCTGTACTGTGAATAGTATAATCTTTCTATAGAAATTTGAATAGCGTATTGTATATATTTACTCAGTAGGTATCAGAGTTCAAAATTAACAAATATACCTGGTTGTCCTGTGAGATAACCTCTCTAAAAACATTTTACTATATTTTCTGTATTTATTTTTGGCTCAACGGACCATAGGTCTGCTGAGCCTATGGGATGGGTTTCTGTCTGTCTATCTGTCTGTCTGTCTGTGCAAGACTTCTTCTCAAAAACCGCCGAACCATTTGACTTGATTTTTGGTGTGTGGATGCCTTGATGAATGTAGATGGAAATTTGTTCATGAGAAGTCGAGCTGCCAGAAATTATGCAAGTTAGCCTCCCAAAACTCTACTGTGGCGGTCTATAGTGAGAGCGCCATCTATAGTATGGTGTTGGAATAACTTTGTTTATGAATAAGTCTGTGCGTCCCTGTGTCGGTCAGTCAAATTGTTTCCGTCTGTGTGGGCAGGTCGATTCTCCTGTTAAATTCCTTCCAAAGACTGAACTGGTTATGGATGTTGTGGAACTCTTGGGACAGACGAAATCGTGTTTGCATGGAATTTAGTGACTGGCAGAAGTCTTTTCCGAAAGTTGTGGTTGTGTGGATCGACCGCAGAGATTGCAGTCTGCTGTTGCCATTGTGTTGAACGAAACCGTGGTTGAACCTAGCTGCAGTTTTGTAGCTCACTTAGTTTCGATGTCGGTTATTTTGTTCGTCGTGATGTTAACGTGAAACCATGGAGCTACAGTTCCATTCTTTGCGAGTTACCCTATTTTACCGAACTGAAATCAGGTCGGGTCGTAACAGTTGTTTTTTTTTCCATTATTTTCGCCATAAGTTTCTACCTTAAAACTGTCAATGGGTCCAGAAACTATTTCATCAATTATTTTGAAGGCGATGATCCGAAATTTCAAGACGAAAACTGCGGGAAAACTACAGCGAAATCCCGGTGTTTGTTGCCATCTTGAATAAGTTATCGTGACGCCACAAGGCGTCATAGTTTTCCCATTTCACACAGTTTTCATTGTGAAATCGAAAATAATGAAAAAAAACGGCCCAACCTGATTTCAGGTCAGACTATTTTAAAATGGTCATTTTTGATCAAAAATTCTATTTTCTACTTCTTCTTCAAAACCGGTTGACATCTGCTGGATTTGTTCATCCCGTGGCCATATCTTTAATTCTCTAATTGTGACAAATATTTTTGGTTAAAAATGGAATGCCAACTAACCACTATTTCCAATGCTTTGGTGTTAGGCATACATGTGTTTATTATCCCATTGACGTTGAGCAACAGGCCATTGGCCTATTTTTATGGTTGTCCAAACGGGCAACCAGTTTTTATATGCGGGTTCCCCACGACAAAAGTTGTTGTCCAGAACAACCATCAATTTTGTGGGTCTGAAATTATAGAATACTCTGTACTAATACATGTACATGAATAATGCACGTAACAGTTATGAAGACAGTGTCCTTTTAATCTACATGTATCTGTTGGAGTGTGAATATCATATTGTATGTATTAACTCTGTAGGTATGCTACTGGGTCTGAAATTACAGAACACTCTGTACTAATACATGAATACTACAACAGAGAATGTAATAATCCAATACATATAACAGTTGATACTATGTTGAAAGATGATAAACTGTCTTGCAAAGGATGGCAAAGGTGAGCTCAATATATTTGTCTATGGTAACGTTGGAAAAAATAAAATACTGTGGAATACTTTATTTTCGCTTGGAATTTATTTTCGCTATTTTCACTGAAGGGATGATTCCGTGAAAATAAAATCCAGCGAATATACTTTTTTTCCTATATTTCCTATTAAACTCATGAAAAATCAGTGAAAATAAATTCCAAGCAAAACGCCCAAAAAGCCTTTTCTGCGAAAATTAATTCCAGCGAAAATAAAGTATTCCACAGTAGGCTATTAGTAAAACTTTTTTATTTTCATTTTCAAATATTTTTATTAATTGTTCTTACAATTATTGTCAACAAGACACTGCAGGACATTTTTTTGGGAGAGTTTGATGTACTTTGACGGTGTACATACCGTGAACTATTGTGAACCGTTACCATGACAATTATTTGTAATTTGATGATTACAGATTTTTGAAGTGACATGAAAGTTAGTGTCTTTCCTACTTTTCACAAACTCTAAAAATTTGAGAAAAATGCCAAATTGAAGAGTGGCGTTTGTTACAACTTGTCATATCCTGTATGGTCCCATCAGATGTATGCATCAAAATATAAAGTGGTTCATAATAGCACTTGTTTATTGAGAGAGCCATGGTGCTAGAAGTGTCCTAAAGAGTTCTTCAGAGAGTCAACTTTTAATTCATTGGAGTTAAAGTTAGATGAGCTACTGTGCCCTAGTGTTAATACTGTGGAATACTTTATTTTCGCTGAAATTAATTTCCGCTGAAAAGGCTGTTTGGGCATTTTGTATGGAATTTATTTTCACTGATTTTTGATGAGTTTAATGTGAAATATAGGACCAAAAGTATATTCGCTGGATTTTATTTTCATAGAATCATCCCTTCAGCGAAAATAAATTCCAAGCGAAAATAAAGTATTCTACAGTATCTGTCATGTATACTCCTTCAGTCACCCTAAACAGTGTATTTCTTGTCATGTTTCTTTCTAGCCAATCAATGGGAGTTCCTGGAAAAACGAAAGGCACAATATTCACTCCAGTACCCATAGACACAATATTTTATGAACCAGAAAAAGTTGCAAGTATGTACAAATTTTTATTTCTACAGTCATAACTTAATTTTCTTACAATGAGAAATCCTTTTATTCAGATAGACATTTTTGTTATTAGTCTATATGCTATCACAATCACCTTTTAAAATGAAGGAAACTAAAAGAACTCCGACCTTTTACAATACTCATCCGAGGTTAGTCAGCTCACAAA